AAAAACCAACTTCTCTCTCTTCAGCCCCAGAGTATTTCAGGTGAAAGAAAGCTTTAAAACGGAATGAGTGCAGCGTGTGGTCCCGGTTGCTGGTCTGTAGTCCCAGCTACTCAGAAGGCTGAGGCAGGAAGATCAGTGGAACCCAGGGATTTGAGAGCCTGTTTTTCTCCCTGGTTTGTCATTTTCCAGTAAGGTCTCCAGGTGACTGATGTCTCCCTGCTTGTCCCTTTACCCTAGTGGCCTGGGGAAGGGCCGTGTTAAGCGCAGCCTTCAAACACGGCCCAGCCCTGCCCTCACCAGCCCCTCTGGGGAGGCTGGAGCCTCTGAAGAGTAAATGGCAGCTCTGACTTCATACTGGAGCGGACAGTGTGACCATATTCCTGCCCTGGTCCTCCCGCTGGACTTTGACTTTGGCTCCTGGATCATCTTCTGAAGCCTCAGTTTGTTCTGAAAAGGGAGGAGGTTGGAGTCCCTGCTCCCGAAGGGCTCTTCTACCCCTGAAGAGCCACCGCTGCCCTCGGAAGATTTGCCCTGAGCGTTCCTCTGTACAGCGTGAGAGGAGGAGGAGGGCATGGAACACCCTGCCAGTTCCCCGCAGCAAGGCTGCAGGCCTCACGTGGCTGAGCAGTCGTACCCTTCAGTAAAAGCAGAGCACAGGGCAGTGTGGCCTGCAGGTGCCAGCAGGCTCTCAGAGCCGACTTCTCCCCTTTGGGTTCCACACCCCATTCCAGTCTCCTCCTTGCAGGGTCCCGTGCAGCTGGCCTCTTGCTGCCCACTGCACGGCGCTGCCCCTCTGCCCCTACAGTTCCCTGGTAGACTCTGATGTAGCCTCACAGCGCTGGGCACTAACTGCCTGCTCACAAACGCCTTGCTTTCCACAGTGGCCCAGAGCCCAGCTCTGCCTCTGATGGCTCAGGAGTCATCTGCAGATGACTGTGTGTGGGCGAAGCATGCTCTGAGTAGGTCCCGTTCCCTCCGTGATCCTGGAGACCCGATTCTTTCAGCATAGGGAGGCCAGGGCTGCAGGGGCCTGTAGACTCTTCCCTCTCCACCTTTTTCTGGGGGAAGTAGGAAAGAGCTTCACCAAGGAATTCGTGAGGAAGGAAGGCTGAGAGGACGCTGCCCTTCCTCTTTTTCCTCCCTGCCTGAGGGCAAGATCACAGCCGGCTGAGTCATAAGCTCACCCTCCCACTGGGATCGGGTGAGCCTTGCTTCTTTCTAGCAGGCTCCTCTGCCTGAGTGGGAGTGGGTAAGAGGATGGGCGGAGTGCAGGCAGGAAGCTCCCCAGAGCGTAAGAACTGACAATACCCACGTCTGTGCATCGAGGTGGAGACGCCTGGTGGAGCCCCAGGTCCAGCCAGGTGAGAGGCCACGCGCATTTCTCAGTGGCCCTTGTCACCCCCGCCCCACACTGGCCCCAGCTGGAACATGAGTTCCAAGGGTGGCACCGCGGGGCCCACATCTGTGGGTCCCCAGAGCCCAGGCAAGCGAGAGGCACTGGGTGCCACGGAGCCACACAGGAGCTGCCTGGGGGAGGGACCCAGGGGGCCACACGGCACAGGGCTCAGAGCCAGGGCCAGGGGGGGAAGCCAGAGACAGAACAAGAAGAGGAAGAGACAAAGCGGGAAAGCAACAGAGAAGGAAAGAGAGAGAGAGAGAAAGAGGAGATGCATCAATAAGAGAGAGAGAGATCGGCAAGTGAGACACGGACAAGGGGAGGAAGAGGGAAAAACAGGAGGGAAAGAAGGGAGGGGGCAAGAAGGAGACAGAAGAAGACAGATAGGTATGATGACAGATGAGGAGGACCGTACATGGGTGGCCGGGCATGGAGTGACAGCCTGCCCTTATGGAACCCCTTTCTTGTGAGGTCAAGGAGGAGGTAGTGGGCCCAGGTGTCCAATGCTGATTGAGTGGCCTGACCTCTCAGAGGACCCAGGACAGCTGTGGCTCTCTGCCTGGCACCCAGCGGTTCCCCAGGACTGACCCCCATCAGTGTGCCTGCCCCGCCCACCCAGCCCCATCCTCCCCGTGGCCCTGCCTGAACTGCGGCCCTGGTGCCTGCTTCCCTCCAGATCTCTCATGTTCACTCTGCCCCAGAGCTCTGGATACCCCCTGACCAGAGATGGGGTGGCTGCCAAGGCCCGGGCATGGTGGGGGAAAGTGGCAGAAGGAGGCAGTAGCCAGAGAGGGTGGGATCTGCTCAACGGAGCGCAACGGCCTCGTTTCCAGCCCTCTGCTGCTCAGGTGACATGCAGCAGGCGTGGACACTCATGTGCTCAGGGCTGCAGCTAAAAGCTCCAGTAATGAGCAAAAGGCCCGAGACCAAGGGCTGGCCAGGAGGAGCAGCCAGGCGGAAGCACAGCTTGCAGAACAGGAAGCACCGGATGAACTCAGACTGGCCAAGGGGTGGGGCCCCAGGGAGGACCTCCGGGCGGTGGAGCAGGTGCCGGCTCTAACCCCGCATCTTCCAGCAAGTGTTCTGAGGACCTTGCGCGAGAGTCGCAGTTTGTTAAAATGCAGGTCCCTGGACCCCACCCCAGAGCCAGGGAATTAGAACCTGCGGGGCAAGGCCTGGGGTCTGCATTCTCTACCAGCTCTTCAGGAGATGCTTGGAATGAGCCAAGGCTAAGAGGGGGTTTGGCCACTGGATGCTTTTAAAATGTGAGTCTCATAGCCCTGGCAGCAGCCTTTCGAGCACACGGGTCCTCATCCGGCTGCTGGAGCTGCTTTGTGGCGGGCACTGAGGTACGACCCACACAGGCCCATCCCCTTCCCTGACATCTTCCATGCCGTGACACCATGGGTGTTAGTGGTGACGGCAGGTGCAGTCCTGGGTTTCTCGGGTCCTGGGGAAAACTCAGCATTTCCTGGTTCCTCCTCCCCCGGGGAGGGAAAGAGACTGTGCTGAGCAGTGTGCTTGTCCATGAGGCCAGGTACGACTCTTGTGGAGTTGGAGGTCACACTAGGTGACCTCCTAGACCTCCGCCCTAACTTTGAAGTTCTCTGACTTGGGCCTGGGAGCTCGGAGAGACTGCAGCCCCACTCTGAAGGCTCCGTGGGCAGGGTACACAGCCCCCTCCCTGCTCAGACCTGCATCTCACCACCCCGCTGCACCTTCACACGCCTCCCGGGACCATGATGCACCTTCCTGGTGCAGCCCGTGTTCCCCTGGGAAGGAAACTGCAATGGGGACTATCTCCTCTCTCAGCAAGCCTGCTCGGGTGGCCTGTGACATCCATGGTCTCTGGCACCCTGGAACCACCCACCGCCCATGTCTCTCCCAGCCAGCTGTTTTACCCTCCCTCAGTATAAGGTCCAGCCGACACCTTGACATCTGCTCCTCCCCCTCTGGTCCTCCTCTTTCCTGATGTTTTGTTTCGTAGTACCCAACAGCGCTCCCCCTTCATCTTCCCTTGTCACCCTGCGGTCCCTGGGTGGAGCAGAGCATTGACAGTTCACCACGTCCTGCTACAGTGTCCTCTCTCCTTGCTGATCACTGCCCATTTCCAATAAGTTGCATAATCGGTCAGTTGTATAACCAGGAAGTTATATAATCACCCCCCTTCACAGGAAGCAAAACTGAGACCACATGGGGGCTTGCCCGGCACTCCCACACTGAGGAAGGGCAGACTTTTGAGGTCCAGGTTGTGGGAAGCCTCCTTCCCCGCTGAGCCCTCTCTACTGCAAGCTGGGATAGGGACACAGGGTGGTACGGATCCGAACACTGACTCCGGTTTACTGGGTATTGTTCTCAGAGCTTCACTAAGTATGCAGTGAGATCACTGTCCCCTGCCCGAGCAACGTGAACCATTACCGGTCATTTTATTATACAGGCAGAAACTTAAGAGCTGTGGGCCAGCTTGGCCCCGTCTCCCACTGCCCACAGCTCTCTCGCTCGCTGGGGGCTGCTCCTTCCCCTAGATGTGTGGTAGTAGACCGAGAGGGTCTTGGGGGACAGCTGGGTACAATCTCAGAGGTGCCACATGTCATATGGGTGTGTCAGGAGCTACCTGCCTGTCGCCAATCAGCAGGGAGCCTGCGGTCCCCTTGCTGGTCAGACCTGGGCAACCAGCTCACAGCAGGACCCACAGGCCTGACCTGCTGCCTTCCCCTTCCAGGGCCTCCTCTGACCTCTGGCAGTGGCTGGATGCTTGGCTTGCTTTCCACAAACACGTCCCGTGAGGCTCCTGAGTGCGAGGCAGGGCTAGGGACTTGCTGTAAGGAACAAGGAGTGCAAGCTCTGTCTCTGTCCTAGGGAGGACACAGACGCTAAATGCAGAGTCAAAAATAGATCTTTATAATTCTGACAACTTCCATATAGAGAAAGGTCAGGGTTCCGGGAGAGGACAAAGGACATACATTTTATATTGCTGTATCCATGAAGCCTTCTCTAGGGACAGGACATTTCAGCTGACATCTCAAAGATGAACAGCACTGACCATGGGAAGGGGAAGCATCAGGGGGAGCTTTCAGATGTGCCAGGATAGGGAAGACCCATATGCAAAGGCCCTGTGGTAGGAAAGAAAGTCCAAGGTTGCACTGCAGACCCAGAGGGAGAATGGAGAACAGAGAGGCCTGGGAGGTGGGCAGAGGCTTGACCTGCCCGAGCTGTGGGGGTTATGAGGACTGCAGTTGATGTGCAGTGGGATACAAGGGCCTGATGTGATCACATCAGAGGAGTGAGGTGATCTAGGAGTGATGGATGAAGGGGAAAGATCAGAGAACAGGAGTTAGCAGGCCAGTCAGATGCCACGACAGGGCCCCAAGCTGTAGGCAGTGGTGCTGGGCTGGAGTTAGGGACCAGCTGAATCCATGCCTTGTGCTATGGCTTAGAGGAGGAGCTGGTGGGCTAGGTGAGGAGGGAGTGCAGGGAGTGAGGGAAGGAGGGGTCCGCGATGAGTTCCACAGGTGGGCTGAACCGGCCTGATCTTTATGATGAACATGGTACGGGGAGGACACAGCTGCTGGAGGCAGGGTTGAGACTCCTGTTTTAGACACACTGAGGTGTCGTCTCATATAGTTACAATTTCTTCCTCTCTACTAAATTGTTCTTAGGGACACCCAAGTTGGTGTCTTACAGTTCGCAAATTAAAGTTTCACCCTGACCTGCTATCACTTGCTAGTCACTACCCCTTTCCCTCTTCCCCTTCGGAGCTAAATTTCTAGAAAACAGCCCTTCTCAGGCTCCTCACTTTCATTCACTTTTCATCCTCTCCAGTCAAGCGTCCATCCTCAGCACTCGGAGTATTCCATTAAAAATTCTCCTGTCCGGGGGCGTGGTGGCACACCTGTAACCCCATACTCGTGGCAGGAGGATCGCTGGGAGTTCAAGGCCACCCCGGACTACGTAGTAAGTTCAAGACCAGCCTGAATTACACAGTGAGACCTTGTCTCAAAAAAAATTTCTCTTATCAAGGCTGCCACTGGCTACCATATTGCCAATGCAAATGGACCCCCTCTGTCCCTGTCCCACCAGCCGCTTGGCAGCCCCGTCCCTCCCTGCTTGACTCTTACCTCCCCGGAGGGTCCTCTCCTCTTTGGCAGGTCCCTTCTCATCTGATTTCTCACTTAGGGTGGTCCAGGCCCCTTCCTCCTCTTAACAAGCTCTCTCTAGGTGGCTTTATCCATGCCAGTGGTTCTAACTGCCACCTGCAAGTTTACAACTCTTCTTAGACGCTAACTACTTGTTTTTCTTCTCAGTTGATCTACGTTGTTAATAAAAGGCCTTTTCAGGCTTGAGGGTGTAGCTCAGTGGTAGAGCACTTGTCTAGCATTCACAAGGCCCTCAATTCCATCCTCAGTGCCGAATAAAAAATTAAAAGACCCTATCCAATAGTGCTGGTACCAAGCGCGGAGGGTCTGTGTCAACCTCAGCTCCATGCATTTGATTAAATTTGACCAGTACACTTCTGAGTTCTGAGGGACTGGGTGCACCTGGGATGCTCCGATCTGAATGTCATTGCTGGGTGATAGTCACAAGAACGTACAGCATGCTGGCATCTCTCGCAGGCAAGTCAGGCTGCACATCCTGTGTTTTACCTGATATTTAACAGTTTGACTTGCTTGAGTACATAGTTGACGGTGCTGTTTGATAAATTCTGCCGATGAAATGTTCCCAAAGCCAGCATCTCTCTCTTCTTAAAATGAAAACACATGCAAATGTATTTGGTATCATTTGTACCAGCGTAGCGAGCCTGAAGCACAAACATATACAGACGCGAAGACCGAGTGGCCCCGGCTCTCGCCGGCTCCGGAGGCTGCGCTGTGACAGCGCCCCTCTCAAAGGCTCTGTGCTCTGCCTGCCTCTCCCCTTCTGGTGGCCAATGCATGACTCAGACTCTCATCCTTGACCACCACCACTGTTAACGCAGTCCCCTCCCTACCTCCCAACCAGCTTCCAGAATAATCCACCCGGACTCTCGCTTGGCTCATGTTGCTACAAGGCCTTCCCACATCCCGATCACGAAAGCCCAGCTCTCAGCAAAGCCGTCCAGGCTCTGTTGGTGCCCAGCTTCTCCCGCCCCTTTCCCATGGTGGCTCCCTCCTGGCAGTGTCTACACCTTGCACCCGCTGTTCTTTATTCCTCTCTCCCAATCCTAGCCTCACAAGTCCTTGTCTAGCCTCCCTCCACCTCCACTGTAGCTTGGACCTGCCTTCTGTGAACGCTTGTTCTTCTCTCTCTGGGTCAGAACACGCCACGCCCTAGCCTGTCTCCTCCACGTGGCTCTGAGCACTGTCAGGGTAGGGCAGTTCTTCTCATCTCTGCGTCTCTGGTGCGTATGTGAACTCAACAAATGCTTCATGGGGTGAATGAGTGAGTGAGTGAAAAAGCAATTGAACAAACAAGTAGAACCTGGGCATGTGGTCAGCTGCACAAGGCCTCACAGCGACCTGTGCTTTGAGAATCCTGTGCAGCGACCCAGGATTGGCCTGCTTTGGCAAGATCACCTGGAACTGACCCTGGGTCTGGAAATAGCCGCCCTGAAGATTCCAGACAGTGGCAGTGAGGCGGCACGGGGCACATTGCTTCCTGCTTCCTTCAGCTGCATTTGCCAGCGAGAGATGGAAACCAGGCAAACTGGCCCTGGCTAGACCTGTGTCCAAGCGGCCCGTCTGGACCTGTCTCAAGAGGTGCTGCGGATCTGTTGGTGGATCACAGGTTGGTGCAGGTTGTGCTCAGGCTTCTCTCCTTCCTGTGAGTATCTGCAGCTGCTACAGCAAATATCTCACAAGGGCCGGTGAAACAGAAGCACATATGCTCCTGCATCTGCACAAACGGGTACGATCTTGCATCAAATTGCTTGTTAACACTGATCTCTGCGTGGAATTAGTTTGTGTTGCAGGGAAATGAAGCATCCTCTGTGACTGATCAAAATGAATTTTGTGATCTCAATTTTTTCTTTGTGTGTGTGTGTGTGTGCATGCGTGCAAGACAGTATCTGGCAGACAAAAGAGCTGGTTGTGATCTGAAAATAGGTGATGGCATCAGCTGAAAGTTTTAATTGGCCAGAAGAGATGGCAAAGATCTAGAAGGTGAGGCCCCAGCTGAGTTCTGGGGAGAAGTGTATAGCTGTGCTGCAGGAGGAGGCTGCCCTGTGATGTAGGAACTGCATTCTTTGCATTCTTGGTTAAAAGATTTAATTAAAAATATCCCCATCCACCAGGGCATTATTTTTGTTACCTGGAACTCATAGCATACTCTACAAGGTCAAGACCTTTTTGGAAAAGGCAATGGTGCTAAGGCACTAGAGCAGGAGGAAGCTGACTGGGGAGTGCGGGCACTGCTGGTGTCCTGGTGACGACGTAAGAGCAAAGAAAGTCTCCTTTGAGGGGACCTTGGGAATGATGGTTGCCAATCACATCCTGAGGACCCAGGAATCGAAGGAACATGGTTTCAATTCCCCTACAGATGAGTTTCCTTTGCAGTACTCGCCAGCACCCCATGGTCAGCAGTTTTCACACTTTAGATGCCTGGGAATTGTCCTAAGGGCTTATCGGCTCCTTATCAGACTGCTGGGACTCAACTCACTGGGCCTGGAGCAGAGATGGAGAATTTGCAGCCTAGTACACGTCCCGGTGATGGTGCTGCTGCCGGCTGGGGACTACTCTAGCAGACGCAAGACTCTACGGCAGGACGAGCTTTGCGGCTTGTATCCACCCTCTAGTTCTTCAGTTCAAGCCAGTGAGCCTTTCTGTGCCTCCCTCACCTACAGAAAGGAGATGATGTCTATTATATGCAGTGGGTCAGGCTGGCTTGAGTTTTAAGAAGAGAATGTGTACCCAGTTCCAGCGTACAACAGGGCTCAGTAAGTGACGTTTCGGTCTGGGCTAATAATGTGTCAAGCGAGCAGGTGGATTTGAAGTCCCCTCTGGCTCAGGTGTTAGACACAGCTCTCCTTTACCACAATCAATCGTGCCTAAAATTATGCGATTAGATAGTCATCCATTGGCCCTTTAATATACACAGACAGCAGAGAGTGGGAATTGATCTGGTTCAGACCTTTTGGGATTCATGAATCAGTTTCTTTTTACCCAGCTGAGAGGATCAAAAGTATAGCAAGTAAAGCAGAGTTGAAGGATGGGATACTACTGATTCCGCTTCATTTCTTCAATTTCTCTGCCTCCAGTTGGGCATTGGTCATTTTTTCTCTCTGGCCTTCATTTTCTGCCTGGTAAACGAGAGGTCTGGACTTGCGAACCGCCCAAGGAGTCTCTCGGTGCTGTGACGGGCAAGTGGACTGACAAGGATCCTAAGTGCACGCAGATCACATTTCTCGGAATGAAGTGCAGATGCTGGGTGCTTAAGGGTTCGTTCTGCCTGAGCAGATCTAAGCCATCAGTGAGCGCTGTGACTGTGGGTAAGCTACCTAACCTGTCTGTTCCTCAGCTCCTTTATCTACAGAAATGAATAGTACTCACAGAGCTGCTGCACAGACAGAATGAGTGAGGTTTTGTACGTGAGGTCCCTGGAGCAATGCCTGCTGGCACGCAGTTGATGTGAATTGTCATTATTAGATATTAGAGCTGGCTCTCTCACCATTAGCTCTGTGGGAAAACGTCAGAGCAAGGTGACTCCCTGAAAGCCAGTCCTAGAAGTCGCTCTTCAGAGAGTAGTCAGTTGGAGCCACAACTGATGTCTCACAGGGACTGAGAGACTTCTCCAGAGCTGAGGCCTGAGTAATCAGGACGAGGTGGGTGGTAGGTCATTTGTGTGCAAAACTCCAGTTTCCATGTTAAAGCGACCATGTCAAAAGGACTGTCAACTAGGGAATTATTCACCCCATACTTGATCCCAAGATTTCCACACATAGGGGCAAGGGAACTCTCAATGCTTATGACCATTTACTGTTCAGAAGAGTCCTTGTCCACCTGTGGTATAGGGAGACATGTCAATGTGGGAACTTGGAAAGGTGAAAGATTAAGGCCATAATGCCAAAGATGCCACTTTTCTGCAGGGTACAGTGCCAAGGATGGAACCCGCGGCCTTGCACATGCTAGGCAAGAGCTATACCATGGAGCTATACATCCAGCCCCCCGATCAAGATGCCACTTTTTAAAAATACACTCTCCTTCCATCCCACTGGGTAGTAGCAGGGTAAAGTTTTCAAAGCAGTGGAAATAATATAAATTCTATGCTTGCTTATCCCAGGCCTCTTTTAACTTTCCTCCATACCCACCAGGGTGTACCTGGGTCCAGCCTCCTCTCCCCTTCCTCATGGGAATCCTTGGGAAAAAGGTACCTGTCCTAAGATTACATATAGCACAGTGGGCAGGATGTTCTCGAATAATTTCTTCCTAGTGATGAAAGGCTAGAGCCTTCCAGACTGCTGAGTTTGACAGACAATCTGTCTTCATCTCAAAATGTCCCTTAAGAAGAACAATCTGTTACACTCTGGCCAACACATTTCGATGGAAATGAAATAATGAAATCTGACCCAGACGTCAAACTTTGTGTCTTGGGATTTCACGAAGGACAGAGTGGATACACCAAGGAAGGGACATCCAGAAAACTTACTGCTGGCAGATCAACCCCAAAGCTGCTCTTGGTGCATTTTTGTGGAAATGATAGATACTGATGCCCTCCTCGTGTATGTGATTCACATCGGAAAGAATCATCCAGGCTGGAAAAGAGATCGCTGACAGCCAGCACGGAACACTCCCCATCCGCCAGCCTTCAAACCTGCTCAAGCGTATGTTTTGGGAAGGAACTAGAGCACAGCCAAATTTGCCAGCCATGTGGAAAGGTGAAGGGGGTGCTTCCGCCCCCGAGGATGCCGAGCTGGCTGCTCTCTGGCTCCCAGGTCTGGATCTGGCGGGAGGGGGGGGGTTGTCTCTCCTCAGCAAAGAGAGAGGGTATCCTCGGGGTCAGGGTGGTCCGCAGAATGAGCTGCCTCCTCCCTCAGAAAACCCTCAGCAGGTTGTTCTCCGGTGAGCAGATCTGACTCCAAATCAGACCTGGGACGTTCAAGGTCTCCCTGTGTTGAGGTTTCTAATGTCTCAAGATTTCCAGAGGGAAAGATAGTAACAGAAACAGCTACTAGTTATAGAGAACTTCCTAAGGGCCAGGCAGTGAGTCAATCTCTTCACACACATTTAAAACACTTAATTCACAGAAGACGGGCGCTATCATTGCCTTTTCACAAATGTGGACCCTGAGGGTGATTTCGCCTTTAAAAGCAAATGAACAACCCTCGGCAGGTAAGCCCTGCACTGGGCATGGCCCTTTGAGCCCTGGATGTCTTGTATTCTTATTTGAAAAAAATCTGATGGAAAACATTCCTTCTTGGAATGTGTCTCCTGTAGAACTAAGGCCCAAAAGGGTAGCGATGTCAGCTTCCAAGTGCGTGGAGGCCCCAACTGCGAAAGCAAATGTCAGGGCACTGTGATGCACAGGCTCGGGTCTGCAGCAGCGGCAGGTTCTGTCCCAGCCCCGTCTTCCCTTGGCCCCGCAGCACTGGAGTGGTCCCTCCACGCCTTCCCCTTCAGGAGGGGCTGCAACTCCATCCTTATCTGGCTGCTTCTCTGGCCCCTGTGGCTTGGGCTGTCTCTGTCTCCCAGGGGATGGCTGACTTATGTCCTTTTATTTGCAGGCAGCGTTATACAGAATGGATGTGACTGGCTGAATGTCACCAGGCGGGGCCAGGGGAGTCGTGAAGAATCCAAATGAACCCTTCCGGACCTGGGCAAATGGCCCTGGGAAGGTTACAGTGTGCGTTTCTCTGGGGGGAACAGGGAAGAGACAGCAGACCCTGACAGTTCCACATGGGTGGCTGAAGCCTATTCTGGCTCTGCTTCCTTCTGCTTCTGCGCATCTTCCTGTACGTCCACTCTCACACAGGCTAGGTGGCCACGAACTTGGGGGAGAAGGGCTGCATCAGTGTCAGAATTGTGGTCCGGTCCTGACGCCCGGACGTCAGAGGAGGCCTGTGATCTCTTTGCTTCTTTCCTATGTTCCTTCCTCCTCTCTCTCCATGGATGTCCAGGCCCGTGCTCCTGTTCTCACATATACCCGTAAGATGCTCAGCCCAGCCCTACTCTCAGCATGTGGTAGGCACTCTGTGTTTGTCCAGTGAATAATAAACAGTCATCTCATTTTCCTCAGTACAGGTCTGGAGTCTTAGGGTTTCTCGGGGATGCTGTGGGAAGATGACAAAGCCTGGCCTCAACGTTTAGGCCGGACGATTCTCCATGACCGCAGCCAGTGAGTGACAATGCACTAAGAGAGGACATAGATTCACAGGACTTGGAGGGACTCTGAGATCATACTGCCCAACTCTCATTTCCCAGACAAGGAAGCTGAGGCCTAGACAGAAGAGACTTGCCAGAGCTATTCAGTATGTAGATCCTAGGAGGGGGGCCAGGTTTTAACCCTCACCCAGCCATTTCTCCTGTTTCCTGCCTTCTCACTGGAAAAGGTTACCACAGCAGAGTCCAGCTCACCCAGTCCCACCCACCTGGAGCCTGAGCAGCCTCAGCCGCCGGCCCAGCCCAGCTCCACCACCCCCAGCACAGGTCCCCAGTCTGAGTCTGCAGCCGGCTGCCCCCACACCCACTCCCTGGCCAGCTTGCTCCTGGCTGTCTTGGTCTCCCCCACACTCAGTCTCCCAGGGAGGATGGCAATTAGTTTTCCTGGCGCTGCTCAGCCTGAACTCGGCTGGCAAAAAAACTCTGTGTTCCCCACACACCAGATCAGTGTGGGCCTGGCACGTTAGAACGCAGGAACCGGCCACATGGGGGCGGGGGACAACAGAAGGGAACAGTACGAGCAGGTGGGGGCAGCAGGGCCACTCTTGTCCCTGGAGCAGAGAGACGTAGGGTCACCTGGGGGTGTGGGCAGTTGGGAAGAACGAAGTGAGTGGAATGGGAGAGGCAAAGGCATGGAAAGCGGGCAGAGATGGAGGGGCGAGTGTGGAAAGAGGAAAAATTCAGTCATTTTCTTCTCTGTTCCTGGCTATGTGCCAGACTCCTGCATCATCCCCTCAGGGCACCCCTACAGGGTGGAGGGTGGAGGTGGAGAGATACAGAGGAGAGAAGGGAGATGAGAGGTAGAAGGGTGAACAGGGAATGTTGAGGATTTACCAGTTTGATTTCCATCTCCCGGCATTTGGCACGTCTGATCAGTCTCCAGTTCCCACAGAGTCAGAAGTAGGAACTTCGCACCGCTAACGGCCTCTAGGGATTTGGAGGTCCCCCTAAGCCCTGGCTTTCCCACCTGAACTCAGACAGCCACTCATCCTTGAACTCAGGAATGTGACAGGGTCTGTCTCCTGGAGAGCTCAGCTCCGGCTGACCGTGAGCCATGCCTGTCCCTGCATACACACGGGATGCCCAGCTCCATTCTGAGAAGACAACTAGACCACCCTTCACAATAATCTTCCTTCTCCACTTCACAGGTGTGGACACAGAGAGAGCAGGGGCCTGTCCCCTTGGTGACACAGCGCCCAAACTGCTCTGTGAATGAGGGACCTATCTCTTAGCTCCCACCCAGGTGCCACAACTGGCCAGAAGAAGCCCTGGCCCTCTCTCAGCAAGGCCTTGGTGCTCCGGGGGCAGATAGCAAAGGAAACACTTCTACTGATTGTTTCCAGAAAGGAACAGTGTTGAGAAATGGGGGAGGACCATTCCCGATAGTAGGGACCTTTAGGTGCAAGGGAAGTGAGCCTAGTCGTCCAAGTGGAAGAAAGCACACTGGGGAGTGGCAGGGCCAGGTCGCCTTCCAGGCGTTACCATCTTTTCCAGGGGGGTAGAGCCATGCTACTCGGCGGAAGGAGCCAGCGTGAAGACAGTTTTGTTTGCTGCAATGTCGTTAGTCGATTTATCTTTATAGAAACACTGTGTTTTCTTGTTCTAAGAACCTTCAGTACAGCCCCTTCTTTTTGCCTTCATGTTTTGCCTCCACCAGTGTGAGAATGAGCCTGGGGTCGGGTTCTAGGGAGTGGGCAGGTGGGCAGGAGGGAGTTGATTGGGACCTTGCACTGACACAGCCTTCTACATTTTTGGCTCTTTCTCTTGTCCTGGCTGGTGGCGGGGTGGACTTTTTGTCTCCTTCGATAGAAAGCACCCTGATGCCTGGAAAGGCGCCTGGCCCCAGTGCCCTTAATGAATGAGCCCCCAATGGAGACAACGCCTCAGTCCAGTGGGGACGATTGGCTAAATATCACGTCACTCCGGCCCGCCCACTCCGGCAGCCAATCAGGAAGCTGCCAGGGCGGGAGCGCCGATTTCGCGCGGGGAAATCGCGGAGCCTTTGGAGGTGCTGGCTGAGGTGTCGGGATCCTGGGCAGGTGGGGTGGGAATGAGGGAGCGTGGGGCGCCCGGAGCGCGGGGCACTCACTCCAGCACGTCGCGGTTGAACTGCTTCTTGCTGTTGCCCAGGAACTCTCCGACCATCTGGCGGCTGAGGCCCTTGCGCTGGAGGAGGAAATGCGCCACGCCGATGGGCGTGTCAGGGATGAAGCCGCGCGAGATCAGGAACTGGATGCCCTTGTCCGGGTTTCTGGGGAGGAGGGTGCGCAGGGACAAGTAGTAATGAGCTAAGACCTCCGGGACTTCTGTCCACCGCGTCTTCCAGCCATGAAACCCATAAAAGAGCCTAGAGGTCCTTGGAGTCCTAGTTCCCAGGACTCCTACCATGCAGACGCCCCCCTGGCAGTACCTCTCACCCCAACCTCCTCCCACCGAGAATGGGCAGGGGGCTGGGGTGCCTGGTACAGCAAAGAGGATTCCAGAGCAGGTGAGGAGGAGTGGCCCTGTGCCCCTGCCTTGCTCCCCCTGGGTCTTGCCTTGAGGTCTCCAGGTTTGCCAAGGAGGCCCTGCTCTCTGCCTGTGTCCTGAGGTCGTTATCAGGTGCCTGCGCCCTGGAGCCTGGAGAGAGTGTGAGGGAGATGGACGCGAGTTTCCTTGCTATGAACTCCCTTTCCTTCTGCATGGAGGACACAGGGATCCTGCTGTCCAGGATCCCCTATCCAGGCGTGAGTCTGTCTCTGTGGGTGTGGGGACTGTATCCTAAGTACACCTGTGTGCAGACTCGTGCAGCTCCCTGAGCTGTATCTTACTGGGTCCAGCGAAGATCGGTAAAGAGATTGAGGGTCAGCGTTCCCAAGCTTTGATAGCACTCTGACCTTTTTGGGACACCCAAGCATTTTCTTGCAAATCATTTTGATTGTGTTCTACAAAAGCATCTTCCCTCAACATATGGGGCGGTGCAAACGGTCTTTGCCTAGAGGTGGTCTGAGAGTCACTGTTTGGAGGGATATGATGTTGGTTTGAGTTTCTGTGTGCATACCGAAGTGATCCTGTGGATGGCTATGGTAGGAGAAAAAAAAAAGGATTTGGAGCAGGCAGCTCTGGCTTCCCCTGGGTCTGCCTTGTCCTAGCAGTGTGACAGGATGCAGTGTGCCTTGTGTGAGGCGTTTGCTATTCTGTAAACAGCAGCAGGGGCTTTGTCATGGTGGTCAGGTGCTGTGTCTTACCCATCTTTGTGGTCACACTTCTGACAATCAATTAACACTAACTGAATGAGTAAATGAACACTCATGTAGGCAGGAGGCATACAGCATTCTGGGCCCAGAACTGAGACGGAAAAGGTGGATGTAGGGGTGAGGAGGATCTTAGGGACTTCACATTTTGGTGACAGGAGCATACCTGGTTTTTTCTGCTTTAGGCTGACTGTATACATTTGGTTTGCAAGAAATGGTCTGATTGAAGTCTCTGAATTAAGATAGGCATTCAATTCCATCCTTCCATTCCTCCATTCTATTTCTATTCTGTCTCTGTTTGCTTCACATTCCCTTCCTTGTCTCCTCCTTCTTCAATCCTGCTTCCTCTTGTGCTCCACCCACTATACTTTATACTGTCTCCCCTCTCTCTTCACCCAGGCCCTTGTTTTTCCAACCCCAGGAAACATGCTGTTCCCCTAACTTCATCTTGTACACGAACAGGTCTTGTCCTGTCATCACACCGCTTGCGCTGCTATTCACTCTACCCTGTATTTTCTTCCCAAATTTCCCACTTTTCAAACCCTCACTTCCTCTTATACAGTAATGGTTGTGAAAACCTATGTTTGATGTGTTATTTTCCCCAAATCCTTCTTAAATCCATAAGGGAAAATAAAACGTGTACTTTCCAAACATTATCTCCAGCATCAGGAGTGGGAGGACCACCTGGAACGAGGCAGTAAATTGCCGGACCCCCTGTGCCGCAGGGAGGAGGTGCACTGTAAATTCTAGTCCCGCTCTTCCCCCTCCCCCCGGCCTTTCCCAGGGTTAGAGCCCCAGGCTAGAGCTCACTCACATGTTGAAGAGGTTGAGGCCGATGCGGTAGAGCCGCTTGCGCAGGGTGTCGGTAGAGAGCGTGGGCGACTTGCAGCTGGCCGGGTTTTCGCAGTGGTAGCGGGGCAGACTCAGGATCATAGCCTGCAGGGCCTCTTTGGATGCTGCGGCCGACACCTCTGAGCCGGACTTGGCTGATTTGGTGGATGTGCTGCTGCTGCTCAGCTGTTCAGAGTTCTCACCTCCCTCGGTCTCTGCCGCTTTCCCTGCCTCCCCAGCCTCTTCCTCTTCTTCCTCTGCCTCTGTGGCCACGGCCTCCTCCGCCACCGCCTCAGTGGCCACTGGCTGCTGGGTGTCAGGGGCCTGGCCCGCTGCCGCCTCTGTGCCTGTGTCTTCTGCAGGCGTGTCCCCTGGGCCGGTGGCAGGGACCTCCAGGGCCTCACCCTGCTCGCCTTTGCCGGCTGTGGGCTCGGCTGCGGGCTCGGCTGTGGCCTGAGCTGGCTGCACGCCCAGGCAGTTGGCCACAGACAGAGCTGTGGAAGAGGAGACAGAGATGTTCTGGTTGGCGATCTGCACCGTGACGTCCCGGAAAGCCATCATGAGCGTGCCGCCGTGGCCCTGGGGCAGGCCCGCAGGCTCCGCGGCCTCATCCCCAGGCCCTGGGCCTGTGCTCTCAGGCTCTTGCATCTCGACCTCCAGGCCAGGCTGCCCTGAGCCCGCGTGCAGGGCCTGGTGGATCTGGTAAGCGCCCCCCTCCTGCAGGGAGCACATAGTCTTGAGGCTCCAGGTGCTGAGGGCATCGTCAATGGACTTGGCCAGGGACTGCACCTGCTCGGTGAAGGAGTCCTCCAGCTCTGTGAGCGTGCCCGCGAAGGTGGGTGGCAGGGAGGGCGAGCGCACCAGTGGCAGCCCCACGAGCCCATAGCCTTCCATGAGCGCCTTCTCGGCTGCCAAGCTCTCGGCAGTGGGCGCCCGCACCTTGCGGAGGGAGATCCGTCGAGGCAGGCGGCTCTCCAGCAGCGAGTTGCGGATCTTTTCGAAGTTCTTGCTGAGCTGGTACTGGCGGAAGGCGGTTTGGATGGTGCAGGCAGCGCGCCGGGACACGAGGTGGCCCCCGTATTTGTGTTCTAGCATTTCAATCTGCAGCAAGGACAGAGGAGGAAGGGCTCTGTTAGGGACAGATGTCACACACCCCCGCGGTGGGGTGGGGTCAATGCCTGGAGCCACCTGGCCCACCTTTGGCAAGGACTCCTGGGGCGCAGGTCTGATAACCCCGAGCATGTCCTGGCCTGAGATCCCAGGTCCTTGGCAAGACTCTAGAGGGTCCGGGTGGAGAGTTACTCGAGTAGTGATTTCCCAAGGGGCAGTGCGGAGAGGAGTTGCTGGTGGTGCTCAGTTACAGCTGCAGTGGTGGTAATTAAAACGTGTTCGCATCAGAAATGCAAACAGAAGTATTTATAGGTGAAATGCATTTGTTTGATTTGCATTAAAATACTGTAAATTTGCATTGGAAGGGTTAGAGAACATTAATATTAATGAAAATATTAACAAAAATGGTTGGATCTCAGTGGTGGCTGTATGGGAGTTTATTACACTATTATTTCTACTTTGGTACACGCTTAAGAATAATGAACAGTGAACTATGAAAAAAAATGCTTTCTAAAACCCCCAAAGCACCTGCTGGCTCTGTCTCTGCCCGCCCCCTGCATTGGGGTCCTTCCCTTTTCTTGGGAGCATCAGGGAGATTGGGAACAAAGTTTGATCATCTCTGCTCTCAAAGTACCCAGCTCTTGCGGTGTGGCCCGTGGTGGGTGCTCAATACCTGTGGACTTCATTAAAAGTTGGATGGAGTCTCAAGAGTCAAACCCCTCCAGAGCACCATGGCAGAGTTCTACAATTCAAGTTGCTTCTGTTATCTGCAGTGGGCATTTTCTAGCCGGGGTATGGTGGGGGTGGCTTAGGGTTTTCACTTAGGCACATCTGGCCCCAGGAGAGCTTGATCCTGGGCTGCAGCGTCCTTGCTCAGCTCCTCTCAGCTCTTAACGCCATCTATGGTTGTTTCTCTGCTTAGGCTGCTTTGTTCTTGCTTCTTCTCCTTTATTAAACTTCTCAGGAAAGGACTAGAAAGACATTCCCCTGAGGAATGAGTGACTAATACTGTGTAATCATGCCTCCAGAGGGCTTTGCAGTTAATTGAGGAACAGGCAGGGCTTACATTAAGAGGATGGGGTTGATTGGTGGTAATATAGACTGGCTGGTCCTTAGAGAAGTTGGGGAAGTGAGAAAGTGTCCATGGGCACCAAGGTGATGTCCCGTCACAGCCATTCCCACCACTTACACACTTTCATTCCTGAACTAAGAATTGGGAGAGGTGGGGTGAGATCCACTGCTCAGGATGGGAACATGACCATTCCCATAGCCCATAGGTCATGCAGATAGGCGGGCGAAGTTTATCCCTCAGTACTACACTGCAACCTGCTTCCTGCTCTACTTGGCCGTTCAAAGGGTGCAGCTAGGGTGACTGCCTCCCCATACCCCCTAGTGTGTCCTTGGTTCCCTCCTCCCCACAGGAAGGGTGGTGCCCCATATCGGACCAGCAGAGGTATCCGTAAAGCCCAGGAAACCCCTTACAGACACAGCCCTATTCCTCAGGGACAATCCCAGGTAGGATGTCCCTACCTGGGACATCCCGACACTGTAGATGTCTACAGTGCTTTCTACACTACAGTGCTTTCCTCCAACCCTTCCAGCCTTCCCATCCAGTAGCACCCCATCCCCAAACCTAGGGGCATCATGCTGTCTTCCCTCTCAACCCAACATCCAGTCCTACTCTTCAGGGGCAGTTGGAGGCTTATTCAGATGAAGGCTAGATGGCCCATAAGACTTCTTATGTGACTGCTGCCAGAAGTAGCTGTATTTCACAAGGTCCAAAGTTCTGAGCAGGGTGAGGAAATCCTGCCAGTGAGTTTTGATTGAAGTGTCTTTGAAGTGCTCTTAAAAATCATAACAGAGGGCTGGGGGTATAGCTCAGTGGCACACCTGCCTGGCAAGTGTGAGGTTGTGAGTTTGATTCCCGGTACAAAAAGAAAATCATAAAAGAATGGGACTAAGGGTGTAGATAAATAATAGAATTCTTGCCCAGCATGTGTGTGACACCCTGGGTTCCACCTCTAGCACCACACAAAGCCAACCAATCAGACAAACAACAAAAACAGGTGTATTGGGTATCTACTGCTGTGTAACAAATTACCCTGAGCTACTTTAAAACAAACCCATATATTTTCCCATAGTTTTGTAGATCAGTAGCCTGATCACACCTTGTCTGGGTTCTCTGCCCAGGATATTACCAGGCTGAAACCAAGGTGTCAGCTGTGGCTGAAATTCATCTAAGGCTTGAGACAGTTGCCTAATTGGTCTGTGTCTAAATAGGATCTCATGCACCCAGAAAAAACATGGATATCCACCTCAGAGGCTTTCTTTTCCTACTTCTGCAGAAATGATGCTAGAAGGAAGAGAGCACTGTAGCTGGGATCCTTCTCTCTGCCGAACTCGCATGTACCCTGAGGCCTGAAATGGAGATTTGGCCTTGGCCTGGACAGGCATGTCCTCTGAAGGACAGTGTAGAGGGCCAGAGGGGACTCATCACTAAAGCTGACTCTTTCGCTTCCAATTTCTGTCACCCTCTTACCCCTCCTCAAGCACCATGAGACCTGACAGGAGGCCCAGAAGTCACTCTGTCCTTGTCCTTCTAGGGAAACTCATGCCCAAGAGCATCTTTTCAAGTTATGAGATGCTACTGGCAACTGAGAAAAGGTTGGAAACCCACTGCCCGAGACGTGTGTGACACAGGAAAGGGGTCTGTTCCCTTGGCACAGCATCCCTCCATCCCGTGGAGGCAGCTGATTGGCTGAGATAAACCTTAGGAGGCTTCTACCGGTCAATGTCATGTTTCACTGGAGCAGAGAAGAAAATCAGACTTAAAATTCTTGTATCTCAAATTCCCTATAATGAATGTGGTCGTTATGTATAACCTACATTGTACCAATAAATTTAAATAAACTAAAAATAAAGTAACATTCTTGTATCTGTCCCACCAAGTCCCCCCTAGACGTTAAGCGTCCGGGAGACAGAGGCTTTGCTGCCACAGTTCCCAATACTTGGACAGTGCTTGGCACACAGTACGCATTCAGTGAATATGTATTGACTAAACTAAAGCGTTAATTGCAGAGTTATCTTTGTGAATTTCAAACAGAAAGCTTCCTCATTGGACTGGAGCAGAGAACTCACTCCTCTCCTCGCCCGGCATCCTCTCTACTCTTCCTGGCGTTTCCCACCTCTGCCTGCTCCCCTCAGGCCTGGGAGTTTAACCCGGGCAAGTGCTTTATCACAGAGCCGAACCTCCACCCCCAACCTCCACCCTTCTGCTTGGTGTTTTGTCACTGACCTGCAGATACCTCCCAGATCTCCCCAGGCTAAAACAAAGCTCCACTCAACTCCCCTGCCTGTGGGGCACTAGACCAGTCTACGTTTCTACTCCCACGGAGAGTCTTCCAAAATGAGTCCCCCCTTCCCCCTCCAGGAACAATGCCAAACTACTACTCCAGCCCCATACACTCACCGCTTTGCCCTCTGGCTCCTGCTCTCCCTGGTCCGCTGAACTGGGCCTCAGCGAGGTTGGAAAGGCCTTGCTGAATCTCACAGCCTGACCTCAACCTCTCTCCCTACTGCAGCTTTCTTCAGCTCTTCTGGCCCCATCTGTCTCGGTTGTCGTGTTCCCATACAGCTCCTCAATCTTAGTCTGTGGCCAAAAAAATGCCCACCTGTGCTACTTACAAGTCACAGATGTACCCTCTTCCACTTTCCACCTGCATTTTAATTTTTTTTCCTACATTTCTGTACCTCCTCCTTGACTCCCATGTTGGAAGTCATCAGAGCGCATCTGGTAGTTGATAATTAATAACTAAATAAGCAGAGAAATTTCTCGGGCAGAGCCTTTGCGACCACACAAATCATATTCTACAGGTTGCTGTCTCCTCACCCCTCCTCCGCCTTCCCCCGGAGAACCTCAGAGTAAGTAGGAAAGCTTTCTCCTGGCTTTCCACACCAAGGACCTGGTGGCCTGCCTGCGGTCCTTCCTGCACAGTCGACGTTGCACCCAGCCCCTCGGCCTGCTCCACCCGTCCGCACTAGGCCCTCCTGCTGGCGCAACTGCTCAGCCTCCCCAGCTTCAGTGTCCCCCACCCGTACCCACTTCCTTCGTGTACACGTGGTCCCTTTTCTCAGGACCACACCAGTGTGCCTCTTCCGTGAAGCCTTCTCCCTCCCTAAACAGACAGGCCCCCTGCTGCGGGCCTGGTGTACTGAAGGCCGTTTCAAGCATCTCTTTGACTCTCAGTTTTCTCCGTGATTCTTTGCTGTATTTATCCCACGCAGCCATCCCTGTCCATCTTTCCCTCCCCCAGACCCCGAAGGAGTGCAGGTTATCTGCAGCATCAAACAGGCCTTGGTCACCCTCGGATGCGTGGGTAGGCCTTGCGCACTGCTAGCTTGGAGCGACTGCTCCCTGAAAGGGGTTTGAACTTCGGTTACTGGCTCATTACCTCTGGTTCCAGTCCTTCTAGCACGAGCGTCTCCCTGATGCTGCCTCTGCCTGCGAGCCCAGACCGCACAGTCCCACCGTTTCCTCCGTCCTGCGCAGCCCACCCTCAGGGCTCACGGTCACCTCGCTGCTCAGAACCCCTGCGCTCATAAACTGTCCACAGAGGCGAGGTGGAGCCGTCTGCCTCTGCATCCCTTGTGCCCAGCTCTGTGGCAGATCCATGGCTGGTGCTTAGTAAATGTTTGTGGACATGAAATAAACTGAGCTCTCTCCTATGCCCCAGGGGAAATAAAAATCCAATCTCTCTTTCAGAGCCAGGCTTGGGGCCAAACGCTCCATTCTTCCTCCCCCGCTGTGTTCCTCCAACCGCGTTCTCATAGGACTGGGGACTCAGCAGCACCCCAGGTCAGCGCCACTCCCCCGCCCACCCCCACCAGACCCTCCAGCCCCGCCCCCCACCATCCTGTTCTTAACCAGGGCCGGGTCAGAGAGCTGGGAGGTGGATATGGCGGGGAGGGGGCTCTGGAGCTCCCCGGCCAAG